CATCTCTGCACACACACACAAAAATTTAATTATCATGGCATGATGGCTTGCACCTGTAGTTCCAGCTAATTGAGAGGCTGAGACAGGAGGACTGCTTGAGCCCAGGAGGTTAGAACTATAGTGAGCTATAATTGCGCCACTGCACCCCAGCCTGGGCCACTGAACAAGACAGTGCCTCAAAAGGTAGAAAGAAAGGAAAGAAAGAGAGAAAGAAAGAGGAAGGAAGGGAGGAAGGAAGAAGGAAGGAAGGAAGGAAGGAAGGGAGGGAGGGAGGGAGGGAGGGTATGTCCATATCAAGTGCTGTCCTAGAAAGTGAACCAAACAGGAAAAGTCCTGCCCACATAGAGCACTTTTTTGTGGGGTGGGCGCTATTTTATCAAAATGGCCAGTGAAGGTCTCTTTAATGAGACAGTATTTGAGCAGAAACCAGAAGGAAGGGAAGGAGCAAGCCTCGAGAAGGGGAGGAAAGAGAGCTCCAGGAAGAGGAAGGTGCATGCCAAGGCCCTGGGAGGGAACGCACCCGGCATGTTTGCAGAAGAGCATGGGAGGAGACGGTTGGGGGTAGGGGTGGGTCCCCGTGAAGGACTTAGACTTGGGGCTCTGTGTTAGTTTCCTGTGACTGTTGTAACAAATTGCTACAAACTGGCCAGGTGAGGTGGCTCATGCTTGTAATCCCAGCACTTTGGGAGGCCTCAAGTGTTGCTGAGAACTCACGCAAATGAGGGACCACTGGATCCAACAGCTCGAAAGCCAGCAGTGACCTTGGTGAGAGCCACTTTTGTGAGGTGGTGTGGCCCAGAGCCAGCTGGGGGAGCGTCGAGAGAAGACGGGAGGGGAGAGCAGGTGTGGGCAACTGTCCTAGAGTCATCTATGAAAGTTATTCCTCTATGAAGAGGCGCGGATAAGTGAGGCAGCATTGAGAGAAAGATGGGGGTGTCAGGAGAGAATGTTTTACTACACCGTTTTGTTTATTTATTTACTTGTTTTGCTCCTGTTGCCCAAGCTGGAGTGCAGTGACAGATCTTGGCTCACTGCAACCTCTGCCTCCTGGGTTCAAGCGATTCTCCTGCCTCAGCCTCCTGAGTAGTTGGGATGACAGGCATGCACCACCACACCCAGCTAATTTTTGTATTGTCAGTACAGACAGGGGTTTCACCATGTTGGCCAGGCTGGTCTTGAACTCCTGACCTCAATCCACCCACCTTGGCCTCCCACAGTGCTGGAATTACAGGTGTGAGCCACAGCGCCTGGCTTCTCTTCATTTTTTTTTTTTTTTTTTTTTGAGACGGAGTTTTGCTCTTGTCGCCCAGGCTGGAGTGCAATGGCGTGATCTTGGCTTGCTGCAACTTCCGCCTCCCGGGTTCAAGTGATTCTCCTGCCTCAGCTTCCTCAGTAGCTGGGATTACAGGCACCCACCACCACACCCAGCTACATTTTTGTAGTTTTAGTGGAGACGGGGTTTCTCCATGTAGGCCAAGCTGGTCTTGAGCTCCTGACCTCAAGTGATCTGCCCTCCTTGGCCTCCCAAAGTGCTGGGATTACAGGCGTGAGCCACCATGCCTGGCCTCTTCCTCTTTTTATAAGGACACCAGTTAATATGGTTTGTCTTGTCTCCATCCATATCTCACCTTGAACTGTAATAATCCCCACTTGTCATGGGTGGGGCCGGGTGGAGAGAACTGAATCATGGGGTGGTTTCCCCCATACTGTTCTTGTGATAGTGAGTGAGTTCTCATGAGAGCTGATGGTTTTATAAATATCTGGCATTTGCCCTGCTGGCACTTCTTCCTTTTTCCTGCTGCCATATAAGCTTCTGCCATGACTGTGAGGCTTCCCCAGCCATGTGGAATTGAGTCCATTAAATCTCTTTTTCTTTTTCAATTTGTAAATTGCTCAGTCTTGGGTATGTCTGTATCAGCAATGTGAAAACGGACGAATACACCAGTCATACTGAGTTAGAAGTCCGCCCTTATGATCTCATTTAATCTTAATTATCTCTTTAAAGGCCTTTTCTCCAAAGTCACATTCTGGCGTTAGGGCTTCAACATATGAATTTAGTGGGGACACACATCCATCCATAAGAGTTTCAGAAAGGATCCTGAAATTCTCTCTCTCTCTTTCCAAACGAATTGTTCTTTTAAGCCAGGTAAGCTTTCCTTTCCACTTCCTCCATCTCAGCTTAGGGCGAATTTTGCAGTATACACAGCTGCAGTCAGACTTTGACAGGTGAAATCATATTTGCGAAGAGTCCATTTATGGCATTTATCAATCTAGACGTGTTCACCAATTTGTGAGTTCCTTTAGCACAAATCTGTGAAAATCCTCTATCTGATAACTGAAATCACATTTACTTCCTAAGGAAAAAATTCAAAGGCCATGCCACTCAAAAACTCCCTCTGCAGATGATCGCAAATTACCTCTAGAATTGCTAGCTGGGCCCTGGAAACCGTTGCAGGAAAAGTTGAACCTCTGTTCACCTGAGCCCAGCCAATGATGATGCTAAATGCCTATTGCTTTTGCACCATCATACAGCCAAAAAATTGTAAAAGAAACCATCCATATCTAAAAGCCAACCTGTTCAAAGTAATGATAGACCAGGGCGTAGCCCGTGGGACTCCATCCACTAACCCCTGAATCGGGCTAGAGTAACCCAGTATCCTAAGGTCAAAGCATCCCATGACCTGCTGCACTCGACCTGGAAGCGAGTGGGGGTCTCCTCCAGCGAGGATGCAACCTTTTATCATTTGGGGCAGTGATTTTCAGAGTTGGGCCAAGTGTCTGTTTTTGCTTCAGGAATCTCAAGGGTGGGCTCAGGTATTTATTTCCCTTACCGTGGCTGGTGAACAGCTGTGGACTGAATGTTTGTGTGTTTCAAAATTCAAACACTGAAACCTAACCCCAAGGTGACAGCATTAGGAGGTGGGCCACTGGGAGGTGATTAGGTCATGGGGGGTAAAGCCCTTATAACAGGGACATGAGAGATCCCTCAGCCCTTCTGCCATGTGAGGTAATAGTGAAAAGACAGCCGACCCTCACTCTTCTGCTGGTGCTTTGATCTTGGACTTCCCAGCCTCCAGAGCTGCGAGAAATAAATCTGTGTTATTTATAAGCCACCCAAGCCATGGTATTCTGTCATCCATTCTGTCAAATGGATTAAGACATGAACCGGGCTGGGCGTGGTGGCTCACGCCTGTCATTCCAGCACTTTGGGAGGCCGAGGCAGGCAGATCATGAGGTCAGGAGATCAAGACCATCCTAGCTAACACAGTGAAACCCAATCTCTACTAAAAATGCAAAAAATTAGCCAGGCATGGTGGCATGTGCCTGTAGTCCCAGGCACTCGGGAGGCTGAGGCAGGAGAATCTTTTGAACCCGGGAGGCGGAAGTTGCAGGGAGCCAAGATCGCTCCACTGCACTCCAGCCTGGGTGACAGAGTGAGTTTCTGTCTCAAAAAAAAAAAAAAAAAAAAAAAAGACATAAACCGAAGAGAACAAAGATCCACAGGCTCACCACCGTGGGGTTAGATGTTAAAATCATCGGAGGCTGTCACTGGCCCACACTAGAGAGGTCACTCGTTTGTGCCCGTCAGTTGTGCCCTCATGGATGTTCACTCATCACTGTCCACCAGAGACTTAGTCTCTACATTAGGTACAAGCTGAAACTTACTGTGTATTAAGCAGGTTTATTTCCAGATGCTTCACCTGGGGCCATTTAATCTCTTTGGACTTTGGTTTCCTAACTCGCGAGATGACAATAGTAGTTTCTAATTTGGCTGTTAAGAGGTATAAATGAAAAAAAATGTATAGGCAAAGCATGGTGGGGAATGCAGGTGCCAAGCACACAGCACAACTGTCTGGGAAATAAAGTCTCAATAGGTGCCAGCTGCCATTACCGTCATGTCTAGCATTAACTTCTAGGAATCAGCCACCTCTCTCCTTGAACCCTCTCTAGGGCCAGTGGGGCTTTCAGCAATGTAGAGGGGCAACTCCTATCTTGCAAGGATCGAGAGGTGGGGACAAGCTGCTGATCATCACTTCTCCAAGCGGGTGGTTGCTGAGGCTCTGGAAGGGAACTGGCAGAGCTCAGACCCCCTCAAGGCTACTGTGCTGCAACATGTGGGAATTCATTTCAAGCTTGATGCACATTCTTTGCTGAGCAGTTGCCAAGGAACGAAGTAATCTTGTGACAAATACTGCCTGATGCTGTCAGTTTGCTGGTTGACAGGGTTTTAGGTGGTGTCAAATTTTATTACTAGCATTCCTGGTCTCCGTGAAAGAATCATGTAAGAAGACAAGTTATGTCAAAGGACAAAACCACAGACCCAGATGGGCACCATGCATGTAACAGGCACGTGGTTTCCTTTTGATATTGACTCAAAGAGGGACTGGATTATAAAAAGAATAATAGCAAGACCACATGCTTAAGCTGATCAGTAGTCTAACACTGGCTAGATGACATGTGTTGATAAATTGATTTCTTGGGAAATCCTGGGCAAGCTCCTGGAGGTGACCCTGCGGTCCTACCGTCACTAGCTGTGACCTCAGATGAGTCAGTGAATGGAAGAAGCGAACACTCACAGCATGGTGACGGAGCAGGCACCAGGGACCACCTGCCTCCCCTGTCACAGATGGCTTACAAATGAGCTACTCACATACTTCCTAAGATCTGCTGTATCCAAACAGACCAAGCTCAGAGAGGCTTCTGAGGCAGACAGGGGCAGGGAGAGAGGACGGTTCTTCTCACTTGGGTATTTAAGGAGCGTAGTGTTGGGGGTGAGTGACTTTTGGGGTAAGTTCTGCTGATCATATGAAGCAATGGAATAACTACCACTGCCAAGAGAGTATTCATACTGCAGGTCAGTAAGAATTTCTAAGATACTGAAGTAGTAGTTCCCTAAAGAGCTACTATGATCACATGGCTCGGTTCAGTTTTTCTTACAAGTCTGAGCATGAATTTCACACACAAAGCCATACGTTGACAAAGCCAGAATGTTCCCGAAATAAAAATCACAGCATCTTATTGCACACACTACATCATCCAAGGTCAAAACTCTTTCATAGAGACATTTAAAACTGTAACTGAGTAAAAAGGGAAATAGATGCAATTTTGGTTTTACAAAATTTGAAAATAAAAGAGTAAGGTACAAGACGCAGTCAGCTACATGCGCTTTAGACAACAGGGCTTTGCTATCGGGTCTGGGACCCCACGCCCTGGGCAAGGCTGCCTGGCAGCAAGCGGACCCATTCTCATGCCCCCTCCACTCGCTCCCAGGGTTCGTCTTTACAGGATGGTGGGGAGCACAGGCACCAAGGCAGGAAGGGCTGGGCAGGGAGATGCCCCACGCCCTTCACTTTCCCCTCAGTGCGTTTTCCCTCTAACCAAGGGAACAGGACCCTAGGCACCAAAAGTCAAGCACGAGGAAACGTCTGGGCCACTTCTGGTTGTCACCGGCGGTCTGACAGGCGTCTTTGCGGATGCTAAAGTGCCAGAGTTTTCAGGCTACTTGGATGGTTTGCAGTCATGATGAGTTAAGAGTCTTGAAACTCAAAGGCATCCTAGACACCCAGGATGATGGCAACCCTGTTCATCCCACGGTTGGTCACTGAGCCGCCTATGAAGCTGAGCCCACAGTCATACCTGCATCCACGGGGAGACATCACCCTTCACAGAATCTAGATTTGTTTCCAGGATCTATTCTGATGAAGGAGACTTGAGAAGCTGGGAAACTGCAGACGAATTTAAGTTCCAAGGTCGGATGAGTTTGCTACTCAACTTCCATCACAGGTGTAGCTTTCCCTCCCAGAATACAAGGCCTGACAGGCATCAACTAGGAGGCAAACTTCACCTTCAAGACTGGGAGACGCCTGGCTAGTTAGACCCCGCCGCAGGGTGAGAGAAGTCTCTCTCTCCAGCAAGGCTGGGCGTCCGGCCTCCAATACATCTACGAAGAGGGCCCAGAGAAAAAGGCTCGCTGAGCGGCTGGCGGCCTCTAGTGGTCACTGCTGGTCATCAGCTTTCCTCCAATACAACCAGTTGTCACGAGAATACAAAACAATCAGGAGGAAAAAAAGTTTAGTATTTTATCAAAGAAAACCCTCACATACTAAATAGCTGTCCTGAAACAAATGATTTACACATTTTCTTCCGACTACGTATTTATTAAGTTCTAAAACCTTGAATAACTGCCGTTTTAAAAATTCACACTAAAGAAAACTAGATTTAACATCTTTTACAGAGAGTGCTAAGTGGCTTTTTAAATTGTAACTATTGTGTCCAGGAGAAAGGTGAGCTCATCTTTTCAGAAGTGTCATCAGCTGGTGAACTTCATTTTGGTCTCCACTTTATGTCTTTTACTCCATGAAAATGTCTTTTCAAAGCAGTGTTATCCGCCCATGGAGAGTTTAAACAGGCGTCGTCATCATTTTCTTCTAATCTCTGGAAATAAATATGTTTTACTCAGGCAGGCATTTCAGGAAAGTGTTTTGCACATAAAGAGACTGCAGAAAGAGTTTGCGACTGACCTCCCCTCTCCCTGCCTTCCAGAAGCAGGACACGTCCAAGTCTAATGCTGGGGGACACCTGGCAGAACCCTGACAACCCTGCAGACAGAAGCTCTAGAAAGACTCCTCCCGACACCCTGTAGAGCTCGCCGCTCCTCACCAGCTCCAGGTAAGGCATGCAGGCTATGCCTGGGCGCCAGCTCTGCGAAGAGCCCACCTGCCCCCGCTACCTTGAGCTCTTCTTGCCTCCTGTGATAGTACAGCATCAGCTGCTTCTGCTCCTCGCTGCTGATGATGGGCTCTCGGGCTGGAGCGCCATGTCCTCTCTGCAAAGAGCAGAGCAGAGCAAATTGTGGATTAAGGTGTTCTTACAGAGACAATCCTTAAAGTTACAACAAATGTTTTACAATTGCCTTTGCCAACTACTAAAAATAAACAGGTCCCCAGGTCTAGTCAGCTGAAGTGAATCATCAAGGGAAGGCTTGATCTGGAGCAGCCCTGAGCCCTGGACTCACTGTGTGGAGACCAAAGGCTGCACAAAGCTATCTCTGTCTCCGTCATTCCCAAGACAGACACTGCAGGCAGGTCCAGTGGGAAAGGGAGGACACTCAGAACCACAGACTCTGGATCTACAGAGGGTGGACAGCCCCATTTCCCCAAAATCACAGCCTGGTGACGTAGGAGGCACTGCAGGTAGACAGAGCTACATGATGTCCTTCAAAGGTCTCCAGCCTTTCCTCCTCCTCCCGTACAGAGCATCCGCAGTTTGAAAAAGCCTGGAATCAGTGTCGGGCTAAACTTTACATTTCAAGGAAAATATTTGTTTACTTGCAGCCCTATCTTTAAGGTTGAAATTAACATAGTATCTTTCCTCTCCCCCGCATATTAAAACAAACTCTAGATATTGCCAGTCAGTCCACATGTGCAGAAAGAGGATATTTTCAGTTTAAATTCGAGCCAATAGGATTAAAATATTTGTGCCAGTAGTTTAAATCTTTCAGATTCACTGCACATTTTTATCAGTTTGAAGGGAAATAACAAAAAATACTGACATGTTAAAGCGAAAGCACTTACTTGCTGAATCTTGGTGATAATTTTGGTTTTTTCATTTTTCCCCACGTAGTCTGAAAGCTTCTTTGTTCTTCTCAGCTCCTTGGCTGCCCACCACAGCTGAGCCTCTGACTCTTTAATGACGCTGAGCCCTGCCTGGGGCCAATCGTAAGAACTGGCTTTACTGTGTGTTCCCACCTGGGGGGCAGAGCCCCGCTGAGCCGTTTCAGCAGGGGGCAGGGGACAGATTTCTCCCTGTGCTCACCATGGAAGGGCCTGACAGCCCCACCTCACTCAAAGTCCTGGCTCATTTCAGTACCTTCCCTGTTAAATTTCCATTTATGCCCTGACTCAGTTAACTTCCTCCTCTGGGCAACAAGGAAACCCTATCTTTTTTGCACCTTGATCTGCACAGTTCGTCTTAGATCTGTAGGCCACTGCCAGGGAAGGACACTGGCATCATGCTGGGTGTTTAAATCGAGGTATAATGGGGCTGCCTGTGTACCTCTGCGTATTCCATTTATTTAAGATGGCTTAGACAAAGAATATTGTCCAACAGGAAAAGAAGTGAGAAAACCCAAGGAAAATGGAACATAAGGGTCAGAAAATAACATGAAGCAATAGGGAAGACTAGAAACACAAACTTCCATGCAAAGGGACGGATGCATTTGGGTAGAAATAGGAAGAAATTGGGTAGCTGGCTTCTTAGTGGCCAAAGACAGCAGAAACGTTTTCAGTTACTCCTGAAGGGCAGCCTCACCAACTGTGTCCACTGCCTCCTGTGTATGGGGAACCAAAGCTCTCACCCATGAGTACCACACTGTCAGGGGCCACTCCTGAATTCAGAACTCTGCTCTGAAGCGGGGCATAACAAACCTGAAAGCTGTGTAGGGAGCTACACACTACATCCAGAAGAGGGGCATCTAATCCGAAGGGCTTTTGGGGGGCTATGAACTCACCCTCCTGAGTGCCCACCCAAGAACTACATACCTGCGTTCCTGACAAATCTTCCTTATTTTCAAATTCCATCCGGATGGGATCATACGGTGGCAACCCCATGGGATAAACAATCATCACTGCGCCTCGCAGCTGGTCCAAGGCATCCTTCACCATCTCCATGGTAACACAGATACCGGCTTCCACTTGTTTCTGCAGAAAGTCATTGTTATCACAGTGTGGCTAGTAAATACAGTAAACTCAACCAAGATCTTGTACAAGACCCCTGCCAGAGACTTCCAGAGCAACAAAAAGAAATCAAACAGTTCTTGCTCCCAAAGTGACTACTATCTATTTTAGGGACTGAGCCAAGCACACCGCGGCCTACATTATAGAGCACAGATGGGAGCGAGGATCAAGAGCGGCAGAGGGAGCAGGCACTGCAGGTGGACCTCGACGTGCAGACGGATGGAAGGGGTGGAGACGGCAGCAGGGTGCTTCAGGACAAGCTGAAACAAAGAAAAGCAGGCGCCAGCCCCTCGGCTGGAGCAGGAAGGAGAGGAGAAGATGAGGCCAGCTCCAGCTGGCTGTGCTGGAGTTTGTTTTTGAATGGCCACAAAAGCCAGGCTGAGGAATTCACATTTCCTCTGTTAGGCAAGGGCAGTTGACTGCCTTTTCTGGGAAGGAGTGGTAATGCTGAGAGATTTATCTTGTAGTTGGTATAGAACAGACCTAGTTGGCCAAGTACGGTGGCTCATGCCTTACATAATCCCAGCATTTTGGGAGGCAGAGACGGGCGAATCACCTGAGGTCAGCAGTTTGAGACCAGCCTGGCCAACATGGTGAAACCCTGTCTCTACTAAAAATACCATTAGCTGGATGTGGTGGCAGGCACCTGTAATCCCAGCTACTCAGGAGGCTGAGGCAGGAGAACTGCTTGAACCCGGAAGGTGGAGGTTAGATGAACTAAAATCATGCCACTGGACTCCAGCCTGGGCAACAGAGCAAGACCCTGTCTCAAATTAAAAAAAAAAAAAGGAAGAGAAAAAAAAAAAAGAACATACCTAACTGGAGGGAGACCAGGTAGTAGGCTCTGAAGAATACAGAGAACCGTGTGATAAATAGCAAATATATCTGGTCTTTGTTACTCAGTTCCAGGCACAGAGCTCCAAAACTCTTGGAATTTCCTGAGTGACAGGAGTGTCTGGTTATTTATAACGAGCTCCTTCTCACTATACGCGAGTTTGTGCTAATATAGTAACTTGGTTTCAAGGAAGGGGCTGGCCATGCCAGGGAGACCAAGCACGTGATTAGAGGGTTGGAGCTTTCAGCCTCAGCCCCTTCCTCCACCTCCAGGGGCTACAGGTTGGCATCAAACACATGGCCAGTGGTTTAACCAATCATGCCTACTGAACAAAAACTCCACAAAAATCCTGGATGTTACGGCTCAGTGAAGCTTCCTGACTGGTGAAGACGCTGATGTGCTGGATGATGCACATCAATGGGGGTGTTATGGGAAGCTCCAATTTTGCAGTCAAGCTGGACACATGTATGGCAGCTTGGGGACCTCATCTGCAGCTGGAGTCTGAAATAAGGGGAGTCTTGCTGGTGATCTTGCTCTTTAACTTGTGGGGTCTGATGCTAACTCCAGGCAGTCAGTGTCAGAATTGAAGGACTGGCCCTTGACCTGTGGGGTCTGCACTATGTCTGAGTAGTTAGTGTCAGAATGGAATTGAATTGACTGTCAGGACCCTAGTGGGCATCCGAATGCAAAAGGCTACAGGGGAGCCTTAAAGAAAGCCAGAGCTGTGGAGATTTAAGAGGCATCATGGAAGCAGACAGTACAGGACCCCACTTCAAACCTAGGGTGACAGAATGAGGAAGTGTTGAAGATGACACTGAGGATTTGCCTATAAAACCAAGACACTGTAGTTCTCTCACTGGAAACAGAGAAGCTCGTAGGAGGTGCTGATTCTCAGGGACAAAACTCAGAGGGAGAGAAGGGAGGAAGCAAAGAGCTCATTTCTAGAAAACTGGACTTCAAAGTGCTGACCAGTGTTCAGATAGAACCATCTCGCAACCAGCTGGAAATTCAGGTTGCAAGTGAAGCAAGATGTCGGGGGAAAGGATGGAAGCTTCAGCTATCTGCAGAGGGTGGAATATGCATTTGGCAGAGTAGATAAGATGCCAAGGGAGGAAGAGGGCAAAGGATAAAGAGTACTTTGAGAAGTACACAGGCAAAGGGAAGAAGTGAAGTGACCCAGAGAGGAGTTCTACATACAAAGTATGTGCGGCAAAAGGTGCAGAACAATGGCAGACCACTGTTTCCTTGCCATGGCCTGAGATGTGCTCACATGCCCAGATGCCAACACCACGCAAACACTAGACTCAACCAAGGCTTTTCCTGTAAGGCTTCATAGAGCCTTTACTATACTAACAGGCACAGAGCTTCAGGGCAGCCTTTGCTGAGGCTCTTCAAAGATTAGTCAAGAGCTTGATGAGTTTGAGAAATATTGGTTTAAAAATAATAGTTCAGCTGGACACGGTGGCTCATGCCTATAATCCCAGCACTCTGGGAGGCTGAGGCAAGCAGATCACCTGAGGTCAGGAGTTCAAGACCAGCCTGACCAACATAGTGAAATCCCGTCTGTACTAAAAAATATACAAAATTAGTTGGGCGTGGTGGCACATGTCTGTAATCCCAGCTACTCAGGAGGCAGAGGCAGGAGAATTGCTTGAACCTGGGAGGCGGAGGTTGTGGTGAGCCAAGATCACGCCATTGCACTCCAGCCTGGGCAAGAAGAGTGAAATTCTGTCTCAAACAAATAAAATAACAGTTTTGCTGAGCAAGTCAGGAGAAGCAGAAGGAAAAGTGGTTATCAATTGAGAGACCTGCAGTTGAGGGTGGTAGCAACTAAAATCACCAACACACAAATAGAAGCAACAGATACAGATACCACTTCTTTTAATAGCCTTAAATTCTTTTCCTCCAGATACACATTATCAATGGTATAAATGTATGTTTCTCCCTCTATAAAATAGCCTTTATATAAATACTGAAGATGATTACAAAAACTGATTTGTATCAAATACACACTAAGTCAATCAAGCATCTGGAGAGCTACTCTATGGTCTGGACAGCTACTCTATGGTCTGGAGAGCTACTCTATGGTCTGGACAGCTACTCTATGGCCTCTACTTAGCTTTGTTAAGTTCTTCCGAAAGGTAAAAGAAATAAAATCAACATCTGTATTATACACATTTGTATTACATATGAACCTACATTTACACAAGCCAACAAAAATGTGTGTCTGCCTGTAGGAACTGAGAGGACTCTGGCCAACTGTCAGGATTATGAAAGGAAAAGCTGTGGCCTACCCCAAAGATGCTCGTTTCCTTTGCCTTAGGAAGACCAAAAGGGAAGCTGGCTGAGAGGTAACTCTGGGAGCCACAGTTGGAGTTTTATCTCAAAAGACAAGCTTTAGAGCATCATTTTAAAAAGCCAACCTTAGATATGATTGCTTTGGCTTCTTCTATAGTCTTCTTTAACACTTGCTTCATTTTCTCATTTGGAGCTATGAAAATAAAAAGGAGAGAGGGAGAGACAGAGCTGTCAAATACATAGCCTCTTTAAAACTCTTCTGAAATATCTCAGTCCCTTCTGCCTGAGTCAGGGGTAAGTGAACTGAGAGAGTGCAGTGTGGCATTTAGGGAAGAGAGGCAAAATACTTGGCTGTGGGAAATTAGGTGAAGATCTCTTCCCAAGAGCAGAGACCTGGAGTGTGCTTTCTGCAAAGTGGCAAAGGCTATAAAAAACCAGAAACGCATGTCGTTGGATGAACAGGGTCAGTGACCTTCTTCTGGAAAGGGGCAGATAGTAAAATATTCTAGGCTTTGCAGGCTACAGTCTTGTTGGGTGTAGTTACTCAGCTCTGCCTAGCAGCACAAAAGGAGACCGTACTTAAATGAATGGGGTGGCAGCATCCCCACACAATTTTATTTACAAGAAAAGGCAACTGGCTGAATTTGGCCTATAGCCCATAATTTGCTGACCCTTAGATCAGGAAGAAATAATAACTCGAAAGCTTAGAAACAAACAAACAAAAAAATGAAGACGAAATGCCCAAATATAGGGAAAATGGGGTAAGTTGAAAGCATATATTCCTAATAAACAATACAACTAATTAGACATTGAAAATATTAGAAACTCAAGATTGTATTAGAATAGAAGTGGTTAGGCCAGGCACAGTGGCTCATGCTTATCATCCCAGCACTTTGGGAAGCCAAAGCGGGTACATCACCTGAGGTCAGGAGTTCGAGACCAGCCTGGCCAACATGGTGAAACCCCATCTCTACTAAAAATACAAAAATTAGCCGGGCAATGTGGCAGGTGCCTGCAATCCCAGCTACTCTGGAGGCTGAGGCAAGAGAATTGCTTGAACCCGGGAGGCAGAGGTTGCAATGAGCTGAGACTATGTTACCGTACTCCAGCCTGGGCCACAGAGTGAGACTTCATCTCAAACAAAATAAAACAAAACAAAACAAAACAAAACAAAAACATATTGGTTTAAAGATGAATACTGAACTGGCTTTCATATTTTTTTTCTTCATTGATATCCTTCCTTCTGAAAATTAGACTCTCTCTAGATTGAGAATGAGTTTAGGTAAGAAAGATATGGAAGACAACCATTTTTCAGGTCAATATTCAAAGGAAATAATACTAGGAATTCCTACTATCCCTGATATTTTAAAAAATGTATTTTTAAGCTTGTAAAGGACTTCCAGGGACCCTGTCCTTCTGCTCCTAACAGTGTTTTAGGGCTGATCAATTACAGCTTTTTAAATGGAGCTTTGAATGCAGGTTAAAAAGAATAAGCTATCAAAAAGGATTATTATCAATTCCACATGATCAGCCAAATACTGAAAGGGGAAGAATTTCTTCAGTGTTTTGCCACGTACTAAAGTGCTCAGCCCCAGAGAGAGGCACGTCCTTGATGAGTGAAGTACCCGTGCTGACATTCCTTCCCTTTCCTCTTTCCCACACTATCTCTAAAGATATCCTGACCTCTGCAAACAGTAACGAAACACAACTTTGAATACATTTCAGTAACAATTATTAGGTTGAACCATATGAAGTTGCCAATACTCAACCATTTTTGACCTACAGAAGGGAAAGGGTCATTTCATCTGGTTCATCGAATATATTTAAAAGTGAGCTGCAATTTATTAAGAGCAAGACAAACTTCCTTTATCTACCTAATTCATCCTAGATTAGAGTTTTGCCACAGGAGCTACAGAGTACAGTATTTTGTAAGTCTATGGAGAAGTGATGAGGTCGATTTTTGAAAGAAAAGAACGGCTTTCTCACACCTGTAATCCCAACACTTTGGGAGGCTGAGGCAGGCAGATCACTTGACGTCAGGAGTTTGAGACCAGCCTGGCCAACATGGTGAAACCTCGTCTCTACTAAAAATACAAAAATTAGCCAGGCGTGATGGTGCATACCTATAGTCCCAGATACTCAGGAGGCTAAGGCAGGAGAATTGCCTGAACCTGAAAGGAGGAGGTTGCAGTGAGCTGAGATCACACCACTGCACTCCAGCCTGGGCAATAGTGCAAGACTCTGTCTCAAAAAAAAAAAAAAGGAACTGTTTTCATACTTACGGATATATCAAGCATGCACATAGAAGAGAAATGCTCACTTACCTTGTCCATTCCTTCGTCCAATATCATCCTTTTTAAATATAGCACCACCGCTGGGTACACATTTTTCACCCCACTCATCCTTTAATTTCAATTCTTCAATCTGATCATCGGTCAGTCCTTGCATATTGGGAGGGAGAAATATGCCATGTTCTGCTAATTCTTCCATTTCTTAAAAATAAGCAAAAGACAGTATCACAGTCATCACCATAACATCTCATGCCCATTGGAATGTAGGCTGCCAAGGGCTGGGGGTCTTGCCCATCTGGCTCACTATTTTGTGGAACAAACATTTATATGTCACTTGCTAAGTGCCAGACCTGGCCTGGACCCTGGACAAAGAGTCACTGATCCACCCATCCTCAGCCAACAGGACAGGGAGCTCAGGAACTCGCCACCTGTCCCAGGCAGTCAGCCTGTAGATTCTGTGCTCCAAACATTTGTGCTATCTTGTGCTTCGTGGAACCCAGGAGGGGCAAAATTACTACTCATTGAACACCTGAATATATATTCACATGGGTTTTATAGTTTTCCAAGTGCGCTGGCAGGGGCTGCCTCCTTTAATTTCAGCTTGTACATTAGGCAAGGCAGTTATGAACATCCCCCACATTCCTTTTTTTTTTCTCATGAAGTTGTCATCTCCTATGATAACAATGCCTTTTTCTGGGATCCCTCCTGAAGGACCTGCCTGAGGTTGCTTTGCAATTAACCATTTTTTGTTTGTTTGTTTGTTTGTTTTGTTTTAGACAGAATCTTGCTCTGTCACCCAAGCTGGAGTGCAGTGGCACGATCTCTGCTCACTGCAACCTCTGCCTTCTGGGTTCAAGTGATTCTCCTGCTTGAACTGGAAGTTCATCCAGGCCTTGAACTCAGATTCCGAACAAGTAAACTTAATAAATATTTATAGAGCTCTCCACTTTAAATACACAAAATATATATTCTCTACTTTAAATATACAAAATATTGATCGGCCATTAATAATACCCATTATTAGAATAAAGCAATATTCCCGTTCTCTCTTTTTCTTCCTCTTTCTTCCTCCCCTTCACTCCTTTTTTTTCCTTTCTTTCCTTCTCTCCTTTCAAAAGAAAAAAAATTCCCTTTTCATAAATGAGACAGCAGTCTAGGCAAGTTGCTCTAGACTTGAAAGAAAGCCAGAAGCAATAGTTAAAAAAAAAAAAAAAAAAAAAAAAGTTCGCCAGGCATGGTGGCGTGCACCTGTAGTCCCAGCTACTCAGGAGGCAGAGGCAGGAGAAGCACATTCCTTACTTTATGGTTGTATCATGTCAGGCTTGCTCAGATAACAAAGCTGCAGCTGATGTCTTTTTTTTTTTTTTTAAGACGGAGTCTCACTGTATAACCCAGATTGGAGTTCAGTGGCGCGATTTCAGCTCACTGCAACCTCCGCCTCCTGGGTTCAAGCAATTCTCTTGCCTCAGCCTCCTGAGTAGCTGGGATTACAGGTGTCCACCACCACGTCCAGCTAATTTCTGTATTTAGTAGACAGGGTTTTGCTATGTTGACCAGGCTGGTCTCAAACTCCTGGTCTCAAGTGATCCACCCACCTCAGCCTCCCAAAGTGCTGGGATTACAGGCATGAGCCACTGAACCTGGTCTGAGACCTTCTACAAAACTTCATGTCAAGACTTCATAAATAATTTATACAAATCAGTGGGGAAGTTTTAAAGCAGCTTACCTCCCTCAAAGGTAGCAGAGACGGGACAAGGGACCTGGGTTTCTAGTATCATGTTCACTATTCAAAAACATGGCTTTCTATTTTTCCTAATCCTTATATTTTCACCCCAAAACCAGTCCATATTTTAACCTTGCAAAATCACCTTCCTTGCTTTCTCCCTCTTTTCTTCCTTCCTTCCTGTGAAGGAGGCACCTGGATCTAGGTGTTCCCATAACACTGTGTGAGGACATCACCTGACCTGAAAGAACACATTATGAACAAATGGTATAACTGAATGGGATGTTTCTTGTCTCTCTCCCCATTGCAGTCTAAGCTACTTATTTCTTAAAAGTAAAGGGAGGTTAGACAACATCTATCACAGTCATCATTATAACACTCACACCCCATTGGAATGTAAGCTTCCGGGGGTCAGGGGTCTTGCCCATCCGGCTCACTATGTTATGGAACAAACATTTATATGCCACTTGCGATGTGCCTGGACCTCTGACATGGGAACATGGAACTGGTCTTATTCATCCTTGTCTTTTTTTTTCTCTGAGACGGGGCCTCACTCTGTCACCCAAGCAGGAGTGCAGTGGCGCAATATCAGCTCACTGCAGCCTCCGCCTCCTGGGTTCAAGCGATTCTCCTGCCTCAGCCTCCTGAGTAGCTGGGACCACAGGCATGTGCCAGCGTGCCAAGCTCTGTTTTATATTTTTAGTAGAAACAGGGTTTCACCATGTTGCCCAGGCTGATCTAGAACTCCTAAGCTCAAGGAATCTGCCTGCCTCAGTCTCTCAAAGTGTTAGAATTACCTGTGTGAGCCACGGTGCCTGGCCCCATCCTTATCTTCTGAAGGCTGAGCACTAGTGCCTGCCTGAGTCATAGCTGACACTGGTGACCGCAGAAAAAAATCAATGAATTCTAAGTTCACTAATGTGACTCTAAGCATTCAGCACATTTCCAATTTATAATGTTCTAGAAAAAGAAGACGAATTCCTTTTCTCCTCAAATACTTTAACTTAAAAATAACATTTAATATTGCGTTTGTGCTGGAAGCTCAGTTAAGAAACTACACATAAGTTTCATGAAAAGAACCATGACCCTCAAGAATTTCTCCACGGTGCAAAAATTACATATTCATGCAATGTAATAAATACATTTAATAATAAATCACATATTCATGTAATTTAATAAATCACATAAATAAATGTACTATTTACACATGTAATATAAACAGCTGTTTATATTTTCTATATGTACATAATGACAGTTGTATAAACACTTAGTAATATCGTAGACCACAACAGGAAGTATCATCCTGTCAAGTTCAAAAGCTATCCGTTTAATGCAGTAGCTACTCAATGCACTTGGTGATTTAAATTTATTTAAATTAATTAAAATGAGCCGGGCGCGGTGGCTCACATCTGTAATCCCAGCACTTTGTGGGTGAGGGGGAGGAGATCACCTGAGGTCAGGAGTTCGAGACTAACCTGGCCAACTCGGTAAAACTGTCTCTACTAAAGATAGAAAAACCAGCTGGGCGTGGTGGCAGGAGCCTGTAATCCCAGGTACTTGGGAGCTGAGGCAGGAGAAATGGCTTCAACCCGAAGGCCAAGGTTGCAGTGAGCTGAGATTGCCCCACTGCACTCCAGCCTGGGCGACAGAGTGAGACCCTGTCACTACACACACACACATACACACACACACATTTAATTACAACGAAATGTAAAATTCAGTACACACACACACACACACACACACTCTCTCTCTCTCTCTTAATTAAAACGAAATATAAAATTCAGTTGCCTGGCCGCAGTAGCCACATTCCAAATGCTCGATGGCCACACGTGGCCGGCGGCTGCCCAGTGGGATAGCACAGATGGAGGCCCTTCCACCGCGGAGAGGTTCTGCGGGACAGCGGTGCCCTGAACCTGCGCGGGAGGGAGACGGCAATGCGAGCAACAGGCCGTTTTTAGGGCGGGGAAAGATCACCAAGGCTTCTCCAACTGTAAGGGGCCGTCCCAAAGCCAGGTGGCTCGCCGCTTTACGTCGAACGACGCAAAATAGGAAATTCAGCTTTTAAAAGCCCACCCAGTTCTCATCTCACCTCTCACACTGGTTAATTGCACTAAATCTGCTCTTCGGCCTGTCCTTTCGGCTCCCTCCTCCCTCCCCAGCCAGTTTCCACTTATTAGCAGCACCCCAAATGCTGGCTCCAAGAGACACCTTGGCCTGCCTCCCCGCCGGGAATGCCAGACCGGCCGGACCTTATCCGGTTCACCCCGGCGTCCCGTTTCACCCCCGGCTGCTGCAAATCTCTTCGATAATCTTCACAAACCTCACCCCTCGCCCCAGCCTGCCCCTCTTTCTCCATCCCACGCTCGTCTCTCGGTCTGTCCCGGGCCGCACCTGAGCAGAGGCGCTGCACCTTGAGTCGCCCATTGTAGACCCGAGCCACCTGCACCGTGAGCTCCTCCAGTTCGGTGCTCCCAGGCGCCTGCAGCAGGAACTGGCTCTCGTCGCCCCGCTTCACGTGCAGCAGAACCATGGCAGTCCCGCCGAGGCGCTGAGGCTGTGAGAAGCCCCGAGCTACTTGGCCCGCGGGTCCTGCCGGCCGAGGGTCGCTGGATGGCGAGCTGCCACGACGCACTAACCGCCGCTCAGAGGCCGGAACCTCAGGCTCCCGCGTCCGCGGTGCGCGAGGGAAACCGCACTCACTCCCGGAAGTAGCTGTTGCTAGGAGCAACAGTGAAACAGAGCCAGGGGAGCCGCCAGTTCAAGCTCTGAACCCGAATGGGGAAGGCTGGGGTGCATGGAGGCCCAGCAGTCTACGCCCGTACGTAGCTACTGCCGGGGCAACTATCCACACAACCTGAGAGGGCAGCTGATTCTGGCCAACCGGCGGAACGGGATTAGCGGAGCGCCCTCCCGGAAGTGGCTGTTGTCGGGGCGACTTTCCAAACACAGATCAAGCCGCTGAAAGGGAGGGCGGACCGCCCAGTCGATTGGTCTGGGGCCCGAGATTCCACTCAGGGAGATACGTGGGCTGAGCCTGAGAGTTACTAGATGGGGAATGGGAAGGACAGCGGGTACCACAGGCTCGGAATTCCGCAGCTGCCTTGCCACACACAATCGCTCCACATCCCACTGTCCCTTTCTCCGCCCTCGGTCTCGACTTCCGGCAACGCCTCCACGCGGCTTCCGGCCTGGGAAAGTTAGGCGCGGTGACTTGGACCTCTGTGGCGTTGTTTTCTGCTGTTTGCATTAGTCTGCTTTTCAGGACGGAGGGGCCAGGGCGAGTGTCTGCACTTCTTCGTTCAGGCTGATTTGGATGGCGTAGCTAGGGTAGCTGCCGCGGCTCCTTCCAGAGCGACCCTCTCCAAAATAACCAGCTATCTTCTAGCGGTCTCTTGTTGAAGGCAATTGGCGTCAGTCGCTGTTTCTTCCGGGAGCCTCAGATCGAGTTTCTGCTCCCATGGAACTTATATTTTAGTGTGACAAAGAGAAAACAAAAATAAATGGACAGGCCGGCGCTGTGTCTCACGCCTGTAATCCCAACGCTTTGGAAAGCCGAGGCGAGCGGATCACCTGAGGTCAGGAGTTCGAAACCAGCCTGGCCAACATGGTGAAACCCCGTCCCTACTAAAAATACAAAAATTAGCCGAACGTAGTGGCGTGTACCTGTAATTTCAGCTACTAGGGAGCCTGAGATAGGAGAATCGCTTGAACCCGGGAGGCGGAGGTTGCAATGAGCCGAGATCGTGCCACTACACTGGGCGACAGTGAGACTGTGTCTCAAAAATAATAAATAAGCAATTGCAATCCTGGGCATTTATCCCAGAGATATGAAAACTTATGTTCACAGCAGCTCTGTTTGTAATAGCCCACAAACTGGAAACAACCCCGGGGTCGTTCAGTGGACGAATGGTTAAATAAACAGTACATCCATACCATGGAATACTACTCGGCAATAAAAAGGAACAACAGACAGTACACGCAACCTAGATGAATCTGCAGAGAATTATGCTGAGTGAAAAAAGCCAACCCCAAAAGATTACATACCATAATTCAATTTACATAACATTATTGAAGTGAGAAGATTATAGATGTGGAGATCAGATTAGTGGTTGCCAGAGGATAAGGGCAGGGGAAAAGAAAATGGGATGAAAGGGCAGTGGGAAAAGGGCAACATGAGGGCTCCTTATGGTGATGGAAGCGGTCTGTATCATTAGTGTCTTGATCATACTCTGGTACTGTAGTTTTTGCAATACATGACTCCTGGGGGCAAGTGAGTAAAGGGGTACGTGGGATCTCTGCATTCTTAAAACTGTATTAACCTAGGAGTATCTTAAAATATTTTTAAGCCAAATCATTCTGTTCTTAATAAAAGTTAACACGAACTAAGAATTAAGGTAAGAATTTGAAATATCAATCAGGACTGAAAAAGGCAATACTAGCCTTGGCCTTTAAAAAAATTTTTTTTTGAGATAGGAGCTTGGTCCATCACCCAGGCTAGAGTGTGGTGGTGTGATCATAGCTCACTCATTGCAGCCTTCATCTCCTGGGCTCAAGTTATGCCCTCCCTCAGCATTCTGAGTAGCTGGGACTACAGGCATGCATCACCATGCCCAGGTAATTCATTTTTACCAGAGATAAGTCTTTGTTGCCCAAGCTGGTCTCGAACTCCTGGGCTCAAGCAGTCCTCCTGCCCGAGCCTCCTAAAATGTTGGGAGTACAGGCATGAGCCATTTCACCTTGCCTAGCCTTTCCTTTTAATTTGGGTCTTTTTAGGCAGTCCCTTTTTTGGTCTGGTTGTTTGTGTCCCAATTCCTCTTTGCCCCCCAGTTGTTTCATCTACTTTGAGTAAAAAATATCACCATTTATGTCATGTGTTATTTTCAAGTCAGCATGATTTTGAATGAGGGGCTCTCATCAAATAAGTGCATGAACTTTTTTTTTTTTTTAAATGGAGTCTTGCTGTGTCACCCAGGCTGGAGTGCAGTGGCACGATCTCAGCTCACAGCAACCTCCGCCTCCTGGGTTCAAGCGATTCTTCTGCCTTTGCCTCCTGAGTAGCTTTGATTACAGGCCTAAGTCACCGTGCTCGGCTAATTTTTTTTGTATTTTTAGTAGACACAGGGTTTCACCATGTTTAGGCAAGGGATGGAGTTTTAATAATGATTAGTAATCTCAGAAAATTTTTCTTCCTACTTTTAGAGGAAGCACTATCTTGAGAAATGAAAATAAGGTATTGAATTAAAATACCTGAGTTGGCAAGAAGGGTTAAGCTTATTTTCTTTTATTTATTTATTTTTATTTTCTTGGAATGCCACTAAACTTGTCTATGTGTAAAGTACAGGGAAAATGGCTGAGAAAAATTCTTCCCTTTTGAGCAAGAAGTCAGCATGGTAAAGACAGATATATTTATTTCATATGACAGCACATTTCACAGGATATGTACAGAATGTCTGTGTACCATTGACTTTAATACTGTATTTCTATAAAGTTTATAGTTATAAATATTGTATGCCACATAAGCAATAAAATTCTTACATATAAACAGCAATCTACTATAGAACAGAGTTCACAAAGAGATCCTTAGTGTCTAACTTCTGCTCTGCTTTAAACAGAACTAGTAAATATTTAATAATACTCAGAATAATGGCAAGTTATTTGCAGCATACCTTTAACTTTCATAACTTTGTGCATTTTCAGCAACTTGCCAAGTATAATTTTCCTGATAAAGGCTGGGCTGCTGATATGTATATTTTAGACAGTAGTTTATATTCAATAGGAAACATTGCTCACAGAACTGCAATTTGCACTAGTGAAGTTCACCTAACAATGAATTATTTTGCTAATGGAGAGCAAATACCATATGCACTAGTCACGTGGATGTTACAGCCACAGTTTCAACAATTCACATTTTGAAGCACACTGCTTATAGTAATACTGCTTTTTAAAAGACAACTACTGAAATGATTAGAACCTCCTAAAAGCACAATATAAAACTCACAAGAGTTATTTCTAACAGCAAATCCTGGCTGTTAGCAGAGAGGATTACTTCTATAAATATAGTATTTTGATAACATTTGAGCATTTAGAAAAATGCTTTTTTTCTAATAGATTTGCTTTAGGTTGTAAGTGCGGTGCAGTTTGCTGTGCTTTTAACATTTCACATATTCGTAGCCATGAATGTTACTTTTTTGATATTCCCTCAATGTACATCTTTAAAGGTGAAGTGTGGACACAGGAATTTAGGTGGACGTATACAACTCTATATAAAAGGAACGTTAATATAAGTAAGTCTTAATGGGTAAAGATGATTGTAACTTAAACTGACAAAGAAACAACTATTGCTCAGGAGTGTTCTGATTGGTTTACTTAATGATATCAAAATACTACATTCTGTAAAAATTCTGTATACTTCATAAAATTAACAAAAGCAGGATCAGTTGCATATTGGCAGTGCAGGAGATGAAATCCACAGCTAATTTGAGGTATAGCCTCTAAAAACTTAAAGCAGCATCATAGATGTTATGTAGCTTCTTAAGAGGGAGGGGGGATAACACACACTGGGTATAACCCCAATTCAAAGCACTCGGGATGGCTGCTTTCCCTGCTAAAAAGTTCCAGAGCAAAAGCAGCAAAAAGAAAATAATGGGAGGGATATGAGCAACATATACTTGAATGTAGGCAGAGAAGAGAGTACGGTTAGCTCTAGTATTTCTCACTGAACTTGGTGGTATGTATCTTCCCTCCATATAAGGCCATAGTGCTTTTTTGGGAGTGCTAGAATATTCATCTACTTGACAGTGACCACAAAATAGGCTGTTTCTGGCTGCAAGAACTTCCTCCTGGCGAAAAGCATATGAAGGTGCTGGAGTGAAAAGTAACATGGTTGTATGTATTTGAAAGGGTTGGGTGTGGAATAGTAGAAAATTCTGATTCTGTGGTTGAGATTATTCTAGTCTTGAAAAAAAAATAATGAAAGGTCCAAATTACATTTGCAGCCGTCTTTTTGGTAATGTGATATTGAAAAGGGGACATTGTTGGAATTTTTAGGTATAATTTGGTACAAATTATATCCTAGAAATTAAACTATGAATTGTAAAAATATGTAAATGTATATAGAAGTACATGTGTTTCTATGTATTATGTATGTACACATATGTATACTTTTTTTTAAGCAATGCCTTTCAACACTCTGTTCACTGTAACCTCGGCAGCTCTTTGGTAAATAGATACCAATTGTCAACAAGTATGAGAGGGCTGGTGGAAATGTCAGCTGAAAATTGGGTGGGCTTTTTGAGATTCTTCTGAAGACTGACCAAAAAAATTTCTGAATAAGGATTGTTGTTTTCTAAAGTACTTTTAAGCACTTTTTATGGCTACTACTGTCTTCTATTTATCCAAAGAGAAATACATCAAAACTCCAGTTAACAATGAGAAGGGTTTTTTCCTTATTTCCAATATACACATATTCCAACTCTGTACACATCAAATAGTGGTGTATTGTGAAGATATCAGTGCACTTAACAATGACTTATTGCACATAATGAAATACTAATGCCCAATTCTCTTGGCTCTACCCTGCCAAAAGCAAATACCCACTGTCTTCCATCGTGTGGTGTTATCTTTCTGTAAAGTCCAGTGTGGGTGATGCCTTAGAGGCCAAGGTAGTGAAAGGATCTACGGGAGGGCTGGTGCTGGGTGGGAGCAGAGGGACAGGAGGTGGAGGAGGTCTTCTTGATGGCACCACACAAAAAGAGATGCTTGTACCTTTATTCCAGTCATCGTTCAATGTCAGGTTGGAGCCAGAAAATGAACCTGGCTGATTACCCAGTAAGTCTGAACAAGCTGACTTTGACTTCCCTTTCACACCAAAGTCCTCTTCTTCCTCGAAGGTTACCCATCCTTTTGGGTTGCTAATTTTTAATGTAGACTGGCCCTGTAGATCAAAACTGTCCATAAACCCATCAAGTGAAGATGAAGCCTTGCTTTTGTTATGACCAAGAGGCTGAAGAGAAGGGAAAGGACTGATAGTAACGGGCTCTTCTTTGGAGAACCATGGAGTTGCCTCTGATTCTTGAGACTCGGCTCTAAATGGGTTTCCAGGAGCAGCAGTACTGTCACTGAAAGGATTTGTCCTGATCAAGCCAGTAATAAATGGATTTGGAGAACTTCGCATATTTTCCTGGGATTGACTCCGAGCTGGAATTGGAGGCATTGTTGGCATGCAACTTACAGAACTCAAAGTATTAACATTACTTTGTGTTGCAGAAGGCAACTGAATCAACCTCTGTGGATCTGGGGTTGGAACAGGTGACATTTGAACAGATAGCTGAGCCTTTGATACAGCAAGCAGATTAAATGACAGATCTTCAAATGGGTCAATCTTTAATGGTGATTCTCGTGTGACACCAGAGATTCCATCTGTTTTTACCTGCAAAAGAAAAAAAGCACTGAAAAATCAGTTTATATTTACTTTTAGTACCCCCTATTCTTCCTGTCTCAGTTATTCTTCCCATTTTAGGGGCAAACAGTTAATTTAGAAACTAAAAAGTAGCTTTGTGTAGTTTGTTACTCCGGTGGTTTAAATAAGATGAAACTGCTAAAATCTTTAAAAACTTCTTTCTAAATAAATCCTTTCTAATTAAATCCCTCAAAATCAGATACAGCTTATTTCATTCATGCAAGGTTTGAAAATGGTAAGGAGAATTGTACAGAATTAACAAATTTGTTCATGCCCAGTTCTATCACATTTCAGCATGAATTTAAATCCATACTTAGAACTTACGCTAAATCTAT